AAATAAAAATAATAAGAAATATATATATATGTGTATATACAATAGCTATACGTATATATATAATATATATATATATATATATATATATATATATATATATATATTCTGAGGATATTGAGAAGGGTAAAACTTTGATTCAGGTGTGCTGGTGAAGCAAGAGGCTAGGGACGACGGTTACGAGACGAGTCCAGATCTCGAGATGAGAAGCACCGGTGGTGACAGCAGTCAGCAGTACCACACACCGCTGACACCGCACACGCCGCACACACCGCACACCCCGCACACGCCCCTCACGCCCGTATCGGCGACGGCGCATCAACCCCAACCACCTGGCTCGACCGCCTCCGCCCTAGGACAGGTGAGTGCTATCCCATTACCCATTGCTTTTCCACCGCAAATTTTTATACCCTTATAACCCTCCGGCTTCATTTTGTCCGTTCGACTGGACGAATCGCGTGTTTTTGTTTGTTTTTTTTTTCTTTTTATTTTTTTTTTTTTTTTTTTTTTTTTTTTTATTTTATTTTAAAGAAAAAAAGAAAAAAAAAGAGGAAAAAAAATTAAACAGTGGTAAAATACACCTTCTTTTTTACTCTGACATCCACCCCATCCAATCCCATTCTTTCTTGTACCATGTTTTACTTCTCCAGTATGAAGGAACCATTAGCAGTTCGATTCCAAGAATCCATGGGTTTGTGTAACACAAAAGGAAATCTTCTTTGATGAGTTATTTATCTTTTTTTTTTTTTCTTCTTTTGCTCTTCTTTTCTTTCTTCTTTTTTTGTTTTTTTTTTTTTGTTTTTCTTTTTTTTTTTTTTGTTTTTTTCTTTTTGTATAATCCTGCAGAATCAGCAGCAATCGCTTAATTGGACAAATCGTATCGTTTAGAAAAGACGAAAAAAAAAGAGAAGGGAAAAGTTTTTTAAATTAGCGAAATAAAATTTTTACTTCCCTTTTTTTTTCCTCTTCTTTCTTTCTTTCTTTGCCCCTTTCTTTTTTGCTTTTTTATTTCTTTCATTCCGAAAAGAAATATAACTCAGCAGAGGAGAATGTTACTAGGAGTATTTCTATTGAATTTCTTCGAAAGAAGTAGAGACTTTTTTTTATCTTATTTTACTATATATATATATATATATATATATATATATATTGTTTTATTTTATTTATTTATTTATTTTTTTTTTTTTTTTGACGACCACGATGAAAATGTAAAATTTCCTCGCACGCGTAAAACATTTCAATACCCCCACACTCCGCCTCTTCCTCCTCTTCCTCTTCTACCTCTTCCTCCTCCTCCTCCTCTTCCACCTCCTCCTCCTCCTCTTCCACCTCCTCCTCCTCCTCTTCCACCTCCTCCTCTTCCACCTCCTCCTCCTCCTCTTCCACCTCCTCCTCCTCCTCTTCCACCTCCTCCTCTTCCTCCTCCTCCTCCTCCTCCTCCTCCTCTTTCTCCTCCCACCATCCTCCTCTACGTTTTTCTACGTAAAACGTGAACTATCAGGGACACGTACAGTGTCGCTCATAAAATGTAGGTACGTGTATATAGTTGAGGGTGGTACATATGTATGTATGTGCTACTACAGCGTTGTAATATGGTGTCCCGAAGCCGTACGATAGATAGCAACAACTACGGAATGGTTCTGGTGGTACCACCGTCGTCGTCGTCGTCGTCGTCGGCGTCGTCGTCGTCGTCGGCGTCGTCGTCATCGTGGAAAATACGCACGTGTTTCAGCAACGATTTCTATCAGCCTGTCGGAAGAATAAAGTGCGAGCTTTTAGAAAGCCCCTACTACTTTGTGTCGTACGATACGTAGATAGATATGCATATAGTAAACAGATATTTAGTAGTAGTAATAGTAGTAGTTGTAGTAATAGTAGTAGTAGTAGTATTAATAGCAGTAGCAGTCTTAGTTGTAGATGTAGTAAAGTAGAGTACGATATGAAATGAAATGACGAACGGTGTCGTCATTTTTATAGGATGAGCCAAAAGTTAAAGAGTGGGAGATGGGGAGAGCCAAGGCAATCATAAGTTCCAAGGTGATATTAGAAAATCAATTATATTCATTTTCGAAAAAACTTTTAGACTTGCATTTTTACAAGATCAGAGAAAGGATTTATCATCTTTTCGAAAAAATAAATCCTCAGTAAAGGGGGAGGGGGACAATTGAATTTTCTTTAAATTAGATAGGAAATTTTTATTCAACGCCAACGGGACTTTTTTGTCGTCGTTGTTGTAGTCGTCGTCGTTTAGAGATAATATTTGGTCGTCATTTATGGGCTTTTGACCATCTAGTGATTTTCGTTCGTCGTCTAGAGAATGTTTATCCTCGCCGTAGGACGACTTGTGACCACCTGCATGATTTAGATTTCTATTTTCTTTTTGTTGTTTTTCTTTCGTTTTTTCTTCTCTCTTCTTTTTTTGTTTTGTTTTGTTTTGTTTTTCTGTTTAAAGGAGGGAAAAATTATAAAAATAAAAGCACGATCCTTGTCATTCCATGCAATATATTATCTGTTAAAGTTTTTATTTGAGTTTACTTCTTATAATACAGCAAGATCTATGTTGTAAATAATGGTCGATCGATAGACTTCAAACACCTTTCAAGCGTTGGCGTACTTTCTGAAGTGGTATTCGCGAGAATTCTTAAAGTGGGGAGGATTGTATGTACGTGTATGTGTGTGTGTGTCTGTGTGTATGTGTGTATGTGTGTGTGCACGTGTGTACGTTATCGTCTACTAGCAGCCAGCACGAGCCTTATCTTGTAGCATTTCGTGCTCGATTTCAGGTTATCGCGGGGTCAAGAGCGCGGCTCGTTGCACGCATCTAATGAACGCACGAAATCGGAAATTAAGGGCTCTGAGATGTAAGGACACGATGATGAGGAATCGTATATCTTCAATAATTTATCTCGACATGCTGCCATTTTTTTTATTTTTTCTTTTCTTTCTTTTTTTTTTTTCTTTTCCTGCAGATAATTCGAACATCGAGTTTGATCGATATTAACAGTCTGCTAAACCTTTTTTCAAGTATCAGTCTAATCGGAACCTATTTATCATAGGAATTAGATTTATTATTGTGTGTTATTATATATTTGAAATGTTTGTTACGTAACAATTCGAGACTTTAAATTATAACTGTTCAGTATGTAATACTTAAATTCGTACAAGATAATCCACCTTGTCCACGTGGTATATCTTTGTTGTCCCTGAAGTATAATTTTAATTTTTTTTTTTTTTTTTTGTTCTTTTTTTCCTTTTTTTTCCTTTATTTCCCAAAGATAGCGAGATAATTTTTCGAGGACAACGCAACGTCATGGCATAGTACACCTCGGGAGAGCTATAATTTATTTGCGATAACTATGCAGCTTTGTTTCTAAAAGTTCGCTGCCTATCTTTACGAAGCCTGAAGTATAAGTATGTTTATTAAGTATGAGCGTTAGATGAGTCAGGAAAAAAATTGACAAGCAAGGAGAGGAGAGAGGGGAAAAAAGAAAGATAAAAACAAATCCTTCGAACCAAATACCACATATAATAATTCCAAACTGATAATTTTTAATTTCAAATAATTTATAAAAATAAAAATAATAAAAAAAAAGAAAAAAAAAGAAAAAGAAAATATAAATGCATTTTAATTAAATAATATCCGAAAAATCTTTCAACTTAGTTTCTTATTCATACGAATCCTATTGTTTTATTTATTTCTAGGTGTCAATAAAATGCGAGACACCGGTGGATCCATACTCCTTTGTAGACGAGGATATGTCGATGGGTGGTATGAGGTCCGCGAGCAGTCCTGGTGGCAATCCTGAGAGCATGACGTGTCCGGGCGGCGTCCAACCGGGCCTGGTTACACCCACGTCGACGCCACCCGGTCCTCTCTCCGGTCAGCAACATCATCGGATCGATCTCGTTATGAATGGTGCTGTGAATCCTCAGCTAGTGCATCAACCGAAGAAAAGGGGAAGAAAGAAAAAATCCGAAATGATATTAACACCCGAAGAGTAAGTTTAAGACAACAAGATATACTTTCTTTTTTTATATTTTTTTTCAAACCTTTATCAAATGAAACGTAATTTGCAATTTGTAATTTGGTTTTTTTTTGTTTTCGTTATATTTCTTTTTTTTTTTAATCGTTCACTCGAGATCTTCAAAAATCATATCTGAAAAAATCATAAATCGTATAAACAAATCGATAAAACGTGTTTAAATATTCGAATCGGATGAAGTACTTTTATATCATCGACGCCATTTTAAACTATAAATCCCGCCATGTTTAAATCGACTGTACCATGCCAGCTCGAACTTCACGTACGCGTGACTCTATTCTTAAAACGTTCGTTTGTCTCTTAAAATGAAGTCTTTGTTAAAATTATCATAATCAAAGCTCTTGTTAATTGAGAATAGTATTTATTTCAAATCAGTTAATTTTATACGTATATATGTGCGTGCAGGATGGGTCAAAAAAAGAAGTTTCTAGATAACTATACAAATCAAATTACTACTTTTCGAGAGACTTTTCAGGTTTCTATTTATACCTTTCCGGTATAAGAAGAAGACAAATTAACTTAAAATTCTTCGAAAATGAGTGATTGAATTTTTTTTCCCTTTTTCTTTTTCCTGCTTTCCGTTTCTTTATTTTTTTAATCACTTTGGCACTTTTGGTCGTATGACCCTTTAAAAATATCGAAATCAAAGCTATTTCGATTGGGAATATATGTATCTTCGTAACATTTGCTGGAAGAAAGCACGGATTATAGGTACGCTCGTTACACCGTATCAACGTTAATTCGCTAAAACGGCGGATTCATTCGCATGTAAAACACGAAAATTTGCAAGGGAAATATCGAAAAATATCATCTGTTTGTACTGAGAGAGAAAGAGAGACAGAGAGAGAAAGGAATATATATATATATATATATATATATATATATATATATATATATGTATTCCTGTGTCTGTAACGATTGGTTATAATTTTTCGTATGGTAGGAAGAAAATCAAATAGGCAAATTAAATTATAATAAATATATATATATATATACACACACAAAGAGATACATATTTACATATATAGGTATAAAAATAATTCAACGAAATAATTATTATAAATTTCCTAAAAATTTTTCACGGTTCTCAACGAAATAAGTTAAAAGTCGATCGAGATGGCGCCAGGATCCACTATTCGCGTGTATAACGATCGATTATATAATTATTTTCGCGTCACTGTTACCAACCGAATCAAATAAATAAATTGCATTATTTACAAATTAATAAAAAAGCATGCAAATAAATCCAAATGAGACGATCGCTGTTTTTCGTATGGAAAGGGAAAGAACAAAAAGAAAATCAAAAAAAGAAAGGAAAAAAGAAAAGAAATTACGTGATTTTTTAGAAAAAGATCTAAGTTCGAAGAAAAATAATGTCCAAAGAGAAAACAATATGGCGCTAGTATAATTCTAAGATGGCTGCGCGTACACGTGGTAGTGATGGAGGGGAGGGCGCGCGCGCGCGCTCTCTCTCTCTCTCTCTCTCTCTCGCCAATTTGCATTCTCCTTATTTTTTCTTGTCTTTTTCTTTTATTATTGTTGTTGTTTTCTTTTCTTTACTTCTTCTTCTTCTCGTATCCTTAATCTTTTTTTTTTTTTCACTTTCTTATCCTTCTCTCTCCTTATTATTTCTTTTCATCTTTTTCTTTTTCATCTTTTTTAAATTCTAATTCTTTTCTTTCTTTTTTTATATGTTTCTTTTTTAGGGCGGAGCTCGCGGAGGCGAAAAAACGCGCGAAGACGTATAAGGAGAGGAAAAAGCACGATAGGTTCGACGGAATGCCGGAGGAGGAAGTGAGTAAACGCGTTCTTCCGGATCACCTGACGAACAACCTCGACATCATCATAGTAAGTTTACCTTTTATCTATCGCTTTGATCGCGCTCTAGTATTTTCACGTTGGGTTATAATCTACAAGTTGGTAAGTGGGGTGTTGTAGGGTGGGGAGCGGTGCGGAGCTCGGTAGAGGGAAGGGTGAATATGGAAGGGGGAAGGGGTGGGTGAGAGGAAGGAGTAAAAGCGCGTTCTTCCTACTGATGTAGTACCGAACGTAACGAACGTACCGAACGTACGTATTACGTGTACGTACGTATAAATGGACAAACCGAGCGAAAACGAGTGTTGGAGTGAGTTAGTGACTGAGTGAGTGAGTTAGTGAGAGTCAGTTAACTACACACACACATACATACACACAAAGAGAGAGAGAGAGAGAGAGAGAGAGAGAGAGAGAGAGAGAGAGAGAGAGAGAGAGAGAGAGAGAGAGAGAGAGAGAGATGGAAAGATGTATGTATGCGAAGCTAGATAGATGGACGAGCAGATTTATTATACACTACGGGATCTACGTAAGCTAAGAGCACTGAGCCGGAATAATCACTGATTACACTACTGTAACGTACACCAATAATCTACCAGGAATATCACAGGGATACCGTGAAATTTCTAACAACAAAAGCGGACACGTAGTAATAGATAGATAGTCCCGACGAGTTGCTACGATCACCTCTTCCCCTTCCCCCCTCTTTCTCTCTCTCTCTCCCTCTTTCTCTCTCTCTCTCCCTCTTTCTCTCTCTCTCTCTCTCTCTCTCTCTCTCTCTCTCTTTCTAGTCTTTCTCTCTCATCTACCCCTTCCACCAAGTCCCTCCCAACCTCCGTCCATCCTTTCCTTCCGTATCACCAACCCCGCCAAAATATTACAATGTAACCTCTTTTTTTTCCCCCCTTTTTCCATTCATTATCGAACGTTTATTTTTAATCGCCATATGAAAATAGGAAAATAAAATTGTTCTGACGCGATAAACAAACGCAAGTAACTCCAAAGTAATCATTCTACTTATACTTCCACTTCTTCTTCCTCTTCTTCTTTTTCTTTTTTTTTTTATCCTACGGTTAAATGTACTTCCTTTTCTTTCTCTCTCTCTCTCTCTCTTTGCATCTCGTTACTATGTAAAAAAGGAAGAGAGAAGCGAAAGAGAGAGAGAGAGAGAGAGAGAGAGAGAGAGAGAGAGAGAGAGAAAGGGGTAGGAGAGAAAATATACGAATCAGTTAAAAAAATCATCAGTAATTATCGTTAAACTAAATGGAGATGGACTAAACGTTTTCTAGATAATCTTAAAAATCTATTAATGCTCCTTTGTTGGGACTTCTTCTTCTCCTTTTGCTTTTTTTTTCTTTCTTTTTCTTTTTTTTTACGGCTAATTAATAGACAATCCGAACGAAAACGAAAAGAAAAGAAGAAAGAAAGAAAGAAGGAAAGAAAGAAAGAAAAGAAAAGAAAATTAGCTCAAAAAAAATTTAATCTCGCAAAAAGAATAGGTAATTGTTTTCTCACTTTAAATTCACCTAGGAACTTTAAATTCAACCCAGATTATGTATATATATATATATATATACACATATAAAAAATTTCTTGTAAACAAAATAATATTAGTTGTTACGTTGAACATCAACCTACATTACAAGAAAAAGAAAATAAATAAATAAAAAATGAAAAAAAGAAAAAACAAATTGAAAAAAAAAAAGAATGAAACGAAATGAAACGAAGATGGAATAAAAGAGAAAATTAAAAAAAAAAAAGAAGAAAAAAAAAAGCGAAGAATAAAGAGAAATGAACAAACGTATAAAAAAAAGTCTCTATAACCACTATAATCGACAAATTGTTACAAATATAAAATATCAGAAAGCGTATAACGTAGTAGTAATATATAGTAATGTAATAGTAGTAATAAATGAAATGAAAAAAAAAAAAAAAAAAAAAAAAAAAAACAACAACAACAACAACGAAAGAACGAGAAACAAAAAAAAAAGTACAAAAAAAAAAAGTACAAAAAAAAAAAATATACAGTTACATATATTCCGAATTGTCGATTTTCGGGTGCCGATCATCTTTCCCCGAAGCTTTATTAGCACTCGCTTCATATTCGTATTACACGGAACGAATAGTCACCGTACTCGATCATCCGTCGAGCGGTCTAAACGCTTTAACGGGCTGTGGGCAATTCGGTTATTACGCCCGACGTTGTAATCGAACGCAGCGGAGCGGGTTCACCCAGCCCCACCAGACCCACCCTCACCATCATCCTCATCCTCACCCTCACCCTCACCCCCCGCCCACACCCCTAACAACTACACACTACCACCATACACTGATACTACCACCAGTACCAGTACCAATACCACCTACCATCAACAGGACTGCCACGTACTACCAGACTCGCGCAACTCCCGTTGTTTTCAATCGACGACGATTCTCCTCCCCATTCCCCTTTTAAACTGCCCCCACCTCCCTTCCTTTCTCTCTCTCTCTCTCTCTCTCTTTCTCTCTCTCTTTCTCTCTCTATCTATCTATCTATCCTATCCGAATGTCTGTCCATCTCGCTTACTCTTCATCGTAGAACCCTCATCATTTTATCCTCGTTTATCCCAGCCGCCATTCGGCGCCGGTCGAGCGGTTAACGCATTGGCGTTAACGCGCTAATGCGATACGTACTTTATGAGGGAGAGAGGGAGAGAGAGAGGGACAGAGAAAGAGAGAGAGAGAGAAACAGAGAGAAACAGAGAGAAGGAGATAGGGAGAATGGAGGCACTCCGTTCTCTCTCTCTCTCTCTCTCTCTCTCTCTCTCTCTCTCTCTCTCTCTCCAGAGGCGACTAACGGAATAACGCGATTTCAACGCCGCGATATATATTTCCTCTTTCCTACTTCCACCGAGACCACAGTTTTGAACTTCGCTCTATACTTTTCTTTTTCGCATTATATTCTTCGAAGAGATTTAATACCAGAATAAGTGAAAGTGAGAGGGTGAGTGTGTGTGTGTGTTTATGTGTGTGTGTGTGTGTATGTGAGAGAGAGAGAGAGAGAGAGAGAGAGAAATAGTCCTCGTTTATTTGACGCGTGTGCGAAACGCATTCGTTAATTATTACAAACATTTGTTGAATCCCATTACACTTATAGGATAAGTGTATCGAGTGTTAATGGAATTTCTTTGGTAGATTTGTCTGTCTCTCGTTTATCGTAATCATCGTCAAGAGTACGATTTATACATTGAAAATTTCATCTATGTACGCGTATGCGACCTTCCCATAAATTCAAAGTTGTGATAGATATACTATGTATATATATATATCTATGATCTATTGTATGCTCGAAGAAGGTGTGACTGTTAATTGTTTACATTGTTTATTCGTTTCTTCGTTCGTGTTTGTTTAGTTTTATTTATTTATTTATTTGTTTATTTATTTATTTATTTATTTATTTATTTATTTATTTATTTATTTATTTATTTATTTATTATAATTATTTATTGTTTTTTATTTTTTTTTATTTCTTTATCATGTGCTAAAAATACAATCGATAGATATATTTTTTTTTTCAAGCGCTAATGCGCTGCATAATTTTAATATATTTTATTTCTCGAGTTTATCTGCTAGAAGAAAAAAGTAAAAAAAAAAAAAAAAAGAAAAAAAAAAAAAGAAAGAAAATAAGAAAGAAAGACAGAAAGAAACATATTTACGTTCTTTATTTGTTGTAACATTATTCATTTTATTTTTTATTTTTTTTTTTTTTTTGTTTTTGTTTTTTCAAAAAGAAAAAGAAAGTGTCAGTCGAATGGTTTGGATAATTAGAAGACAAATTTCTTTTCTACGCTTATTAAGGAATAATTCTCTCAACGATAAAATAAAGTCAACTTTTTTTTCTTTCTTTTTTTTTTTTTTTTTTTTTTTTTCTTTTCCATTGTCAACGACTAAGATACACAAGCATGTTAATTTGTAAAGTTATACGCGGCGTTAAACGATAGGAAAGAAAGAAAAAAAAGGAATATAAATTTTCAAAGAATGTAAATGTCGAAATAACAAAAAAGGAAACAATTGAAATGTCATCTCTTGCGTGTTACAGATCGGGATCAACCCTGGACTGTTCGCCGCATATAAAGGCCACCATTACGCTGGACCTGGGAATCATTTCT